CCAAAGAGAGCAACCTGGGTGAGCCAGAGTTGCCCCCTGACTCTGAGCCCGTGGGCATGGACAACAGCTACCTCAGTGTGAAGGAGACAGGGGCCAAGGGGCCCCAGGACCGGGCTAGTGCTGACATCCCAAGTCCCCTGGAGAAGACCGACTCGGAGAGCAACAAAGGCAAGAAGCGGCGGAACCGCACCACCTTCACCAGCTACCAGCTGGAGGAGCTGGAGAAGGTCTTCCAGAAGACTCACTACCCCGACGTGTATGCGCGTGAGCAGCTGGCCATGAGGACCGACCTCACCGAGGCCCGTGTGCAGGTCAGCCGGAGTGGCGGGCAGGGGCACACAAGGGCTCCCAGGTCTGGGGCTCCAGCTTCAGCTGGGATCTACTGGCTGCTGTGGGCTATGCCAGGTTTTCCTCACCTCAGAAGGGCCTGCCAAGCCAAGAGGGGATCTGGTCACCCCAACGCCCCCTTCCCCAGTCATAGTATATCTGCTCAGTCACCATATTCAGCTCTGCAGGGTTAGGGCAGGAGGGAGGCCCTGTGGAGGAAGGAGAAGGCTGCTATCTGTGAGTTCATGCCTTAATTGAAGGACAAGATTGTAGGTCTCTTCTGGGAGGCCCATTTCTCTGGCTGCAGATGAACAAGGCACAGACATTCACAGCCCCATAGTAGAAGCAGAGAATAATACAGCCATACCTGTCTAGGATAGTTGCCTCCTACATCTTTTAGGACCCAAGCAACATGTCTCATCTGAGGAGACTCCTGGCTGTCATGGCCAGTGCAATGACCTACCACTACCATTACCCAAACCAAATTCAGCCCAACTCAGGCCAGCACACCTAACACAGGCCAGTACTTCAGTCAACTCAGTGCAGTGCATCCCACCATACAGAAGTCAGCTCAACCCCAGGACAACACAACTCAATACAGCATGGCCCAGTCACTGCACAACCCAGTGCAGAGGAGCACAGACTAGGACAACCTGCTCAAAACAGTACAACTCACGACACAAGTTCGGTTCAACCCAGCTCAATACAACACAACCCAGAACAAGCCAGCTCAACAAGGTGCAAACCACCACACACATATCAGTTAAACTCAGTACAACCCTTGGGCCAGGCGTTGGTAGTTCATGCCTTTAATCCCAGCACTCGGGAGGCAGAGGCAGGAGGATCTCTTTGAGTTCAAGGCCAGCCTGGTCTACAGAGCGAGTTTCAGGATAGCCTCCAAAACAATACAGAGAAACCCTGTCTCAAAAAAACAAACAACAACAACAACAACAACAAAAAACCCTCAGTACAACCCAACCCAATGTAACACAACACAGCACATCATGTGCAGCTCAGTTCAACCCAATGTAACATGGCTCAAAACAATATAATACATTCCAACATAACTCCACCCAACCCAACACAGCCCAGTACAACCCAACTCACTGTAACTCACAATACACAGCTCAATTCAACCTAGTACAAACCAACCCAACATATAACATCACACCCCAACCCTATCCAATCTGGTATTACTCAGTCAACCCAAAACAACCCAACTCAGCACATATAGTTCAGTTCAACGCAGTTCAACACAACAAAATTGAACCTAATGCAACACAGTACCAGGCAGCGAATTCAACTCAATTCACCAAAGACAGCTCCATTCAGCCCCGACAAACCCAGTAGAGCTCAGTGTGCAAACTGAGTACTGATTAACCCAGCTCCACTTAGTTAAACACCACACAATACTACGTAGCCCTTTATAACTAAACCCAGCTCAACACAACCCAAGTGGACCACTTTCTTCCATTCATCCTGTTTCCTCTTCTGGATAGACTTGTCACATCATTCTCTTGTCCCTGAAATGAGAGATTACCCACCTATGTTGCTTTTAAGACAGGGTCTCATGTAGCTCAGACTGGCCTTTATCTTACTTTGTAACCACAGCGAGCCTAGAATTACTGACTCTCTTGTCTTGCCTTTCATGCCTTGGGATTATAGGCTTGGGCCACACCTCTTCACTTCTGTGTCCCCACCAATGTGAGGAGGCTGCATGCCACACAAAGGCAGCAAGTGTGTGCAGCCCGGTGGCCCTGCTTTGTCCTACCCCTCTGCAGGACATCATAGCAAAGAAAATGAAAGCCCAATATGCCAAAGCACACATGGCCAAGCCCATACACTAGCAGTCAAGCTGCAGTTTAATATGAAATCAGTTCCACAGAATGGAGCATGAGGGTTCCTATCCAGCAGGCAGGAACCTGATGCATGTTTTTTAAACATATATTTTAATGTGTGTGTGGGTGCACATGCATGAACACAAAAGCCAGAGGTCATCATTAGGTGTCTTCCTCAATTTCCCCTGATCTTATATTTTAGAAAACGTCTCTTTTTGTCTGCACCCTGAGCTTGCCGATTTGGCTGGACCAGGCAGCCATCGAGCCTCCTGTCTGCTCCTCTTGCTAGTGTTGGAGGACACACGCGCACACCTCCATACCTGACTCTTTCAAGTGGGTTCTAGGGATCTGAACTCAGGTCCTCTTGCTTCCATGGCAAGTATTTTACAGACTGAACCATCTCAATAACCCCAAGGAGTATTTCTTTCTAATGGACACAGAACTGTGGTCTGGTCCCTGGGGAGTCAGTACAAAGAATGTTGTGATCCTAGGCAAACTCATGGACACTGTAGCTTTTTTTATTCTAGTGGTGGTTCCGAAGTGTCAGTTAAGTGTCTACCAGCTTCACCAAGTCCTGTTTAATGCACTGAGATGTCTGCCATTTAACCTGGGTACATAGAAAATGCAAAATGGTTACCAGGAAGCCTGCAGCCCTAGACACTGTAGCTGACGGGACATGCTTCGATGTCTCGGTTTGATGAAGAACTCAGAGCAGCTGGGCTTTACTGCCATGCCAGAGCCATCTCATGCCCCATGAGACCTCACCTACCTGATATTTGAGCTTGCAGAGGAGCCCTGAATCCAGCCTCAACTCCAGCCCAGGACTGGGGCCAGGGCAGGAGGGATAGAGAAAGGGGTGACTGATTGAAATCCACAGTGCCAGTCAGTAACATGTGGCATGGAGTACACTTACTTGCTTGCTGCTTGTATGTGTGTCCCTGTGTGCATGCAAGCAACACACGCACACTTCTCAAATGAATGGGAGTGTCCAGGGCTGAGTTCAAGGATCACCCAGCAGGCAACAGAGAAGGGCACAGAGCAAGTGTTTCTGGGCCACCGCTACACAGCCAGGACATTGCTTTGATGACACACACACAGACATACACAAGCTGAGAAACGCTGAGAAAAATCTACAATTAGAGATTTATTTTGGATTAAGATCAGAAACTATGTCAAGAAACGAGGTGGTTGTGTTAAAACAAACAAACAAACAAACAGACGAAAAACACCCACCAGGATAAAGTTTATTATTGTTCAAATTCAGCCTTGAGCTCCCTGTCAGCCAAGGTAGAAAGAGAAACCTTAATCTATTATCTATAAAATTATTACAGACTATAAAACATATTACAGATAAATTTACAAATACAGATATACAAATATATATTATAAATTATACATGATCAAATGTATTCCTATCAAATAGGAAGGTTACAGGAGTACAGAATGGCAGTGCAGAGAAGATCACACCATCTTTTGAGGAGGAAGAGAGACCCAGAGTTAACAGCGATGCAGAGGCAGTGCTGAGCCTGGAATCCGGGACTCCCCAGCTCCAGGCCACGGCTCTTTGACTTCAGCTTGCTTTTCCCAGCACATGCCAGATTGTTTTTAGTCTTGTCTCTGTACAAAAGCAGCAGGGTGGGTGGGATCTCCATGTGCGTCAAACCTCTGGGTTGAGCTCTGCCTGGCAGTGCCTGGGGGTGGGGATGAGTAGCGCAGGGATGTACTAGAACGGTATTAGAGCTGTTTTGCCTGCCTCTGTGGAGCTCGCTCAGGACCCACACTCTGCTGGTGGCAAGCCAGGTGCCTGGTGTACAGTGATGGCAGGAACAAGGAGGGGACAATGAGGGGGGTCCCAAGATGGTCCTTCATGGGAAGCAGCCTGGGGTCTGGCCCTGCTCCAGGGGGCTTCAAGGCCTCTCTCTGCTGTCTGGGATTCCAATCTCCACAGCTGGTGTCTGAAGACAATGAGACTGAGGCCTCCCCGCCCTGGGCCACCCCACCCTGGCCCCAGATGGGCTGCGGTTAGAGAGGCCTCCTCCAAGACAGTTGGTTCCTTGAACGGCCTGGTCCTCCGGAGAGGCCTGTGCTGAGTGGGCCAGGCCCGGGTGGCCCCAGGAATGGGGTGGTCCTAGGAGCGACAGCAGTGGGGACCTCGGTGAGCTCTCCTCCTGGGGGCTGTAGAGACAAGTCTGTGGTTCCTAGCCCAGCTGGGGGTCAGAGACTGGAGGACACAGAGACATGGATTGGAGCACAGGGGGACCACCAGGTACCATGTGAACTCCTGGAGGATAGGAGGACTTTGATGGACAGCCAGGCTAATTGCTTCAGCTGATTGGGGAACAGGAAAGGCAGAACATAAGCTCAGGCCTCAGGCCCAGGGCAAGGACAGGGACAAAGGACCACCCTAAGACAGATGTCCCCTGCAGGCCAGCTCCCACTGATCTGAGTTTCTCCACTCTGTCCCCACCTGCCACTCCCTCCATCAAATAAATCTTACCACGATCCTCTTCTACTCCCTCCCGCAAACAATATTCTTGGCTGCCCCTTCCCAGACAATGGTGCTCCCCACTTCCCTAAGTGCTGTATTGCTAGATCCCATCCCTCACCCCATTACCCCAGGTTCCTTTGCCAGACCAGGCATCCCTGGGTCCTCAGTTTCACAGTCTTCAGTGACATCACCCACCTCTGTTTCCCCACCACAAAAGGAACCTGGAGCCCACAGACACAAATCCTCCACAGCAGCAGCTGCTGCTTCTCTTGTCTCTACCCCACCCCCAAAGAGAGGAAGTAGTCAAACTGTATGTTTTGGTGCCTCTAGCGCCCCCCCTCCTCCCCAGAAAACCCTGGGAGGCTGAGCATGGAGCGGAAGGCTGAGCTCAGTCTGCAGGAAATTAAACATGAAATGAAAACAACCTTCTCTGATTGATTCCTCCATCCCGCCCCCCCCAGCCCCCACTGCAGTCGCTGATAAAGGGGGATCCCATTTCACTGTGCAGAAGAGCCCCCATGTGCTCCTTTCCCCCAGTGGGCATCCCGGGCCTGCACCCCAGAGTAAAAGTACCCCTCCCTCAGGCTCTGGGGCAGGGACTGAGACCCTGAGCCTTGGAGAGGGCTGCTCTCCAGGGAGGTCACAGGAAGGACACTCTGTGTGTGTATATGTTTGTGCACATATGTGTGTGCACATGAGCAGATGATACCTTTGTGTGTAAATGTGTGCATATGTCAGACTAGAAGTGGGAAGGAGAACTGGAGAGGAAGTGAACCCAATTTCCCTACCAACACTAACGAATATGCATCGGCAGATTTTGAAAGCAAGAGAATGAGGTCAGGAGCCATAAACAAACAACTTGAGTGCTCTAGAAACTTCACGCTGTGTTCCCATATGCTGTCCCCATGCAGCACCACCTCTACCAGGACATCAGCCCAGACTTCAGCCCCATTCTGAGGATGAAAAAATCGAGGCTCTTGGCAGTGCAGGCATTGCCAAGCGCCCTTCTTTTCAAAGATACTCTAGAATCCCCATAGGCTGCAGCCCCTCGGGAGGTTCCGCCATGGTTCCCAAGGAGTCTGGGTGCTCCCGGGCAGGATGTTGGAGAGGCTGCTCTGGTCTCATCCCAGAAGCACAGCTGACTGCTGTGGCTAGGGAAGCTTCTGCCCTGCCTGTCAGTATCGTCTTTCTCCTAGTCTGGGCCCCAAACGAGCAGCCTGGGTGCAGACCACCTTGGCACAAACCTGTCCAACGATTCGCCATTGCAATAGGATACTGTAATAAGCAAAGCTCATGATCAAGAACCATGCAATTGAGTTACAAAATGAATACATTTTTTAAAGTGTTTTAAGCAAGTTTACACTTCTATGTTGGGCTCCACTCATAGCTGTCTTGGGGTGCATGTGGCCTGCAGGCCACAGACTGAGCACACATTGCTGAGCTATGTCTGTACGCATCTCAATCTACAGAGCCCACTGGAAGGTACAGAGTAAGCTGCTGGCATTGCCCTCTAAGGAGAGGGTCTGCCCTCTTCCCAATGTCTTCTTCTCCCACCCTCTTTGATGGCAACCTCCACTCTGACCATAACCAGCTAAGGCCCATAGAGTAGCAGCCTGCCCTTGCCCTTGTCTTCGAGTCTTGGGTGGTTCTCAGCTACCCCACCAGAGTCTCCACACTTATCTCTGACTCAGAGACCTTTCTCCTGGTTGAGTGCTTGGTCAACCCAATGGCCCAGGAGCATCAGCCAACCTGTATGGGATTTTCAGCAGTTACCCCTAAGACAGCTCCCTAAGGGCAACCCTGCTTTTGTATGCACCCTCCACCATCTAGCTCCTGCTTCCACACTGCTTCCCGCTGTTGCTCCAGAAGGTCTCACCCACCATCACCCAAGGGCAGCTCTGAGCAGAGTTAGTTTCTCTTAAAAGGATACAGCGACTTGTGTACTCTGGATTTGCATCTATAGACAGGTCCTAGAGAGCCACAAGCCTTCAGCACTGTGTGAGACTGGCTAAGGAAGAAATTTCTAGAATGGTCTTCATAGCTTGATGGGATTCTTCCTGGGGTCTGTGACCCTCAGCAGATTATACACAGTGCTAGGAAGACAGATAACCAATGGTTTGTGCTCACACTCTTTCCTCATTTATGTGAGCATGAGCATGGGAGTGTGTGTTGGGGGTGTGCATACACATACAACACTTACCTGTCCTGGATTGGGCACCAAATCACACTTATGGTCAATGCAGTGTAGGCAGCCTTCCCAATGCTGACAATCCTGTGGTTAGTTGTTACACCAATGATTGGAAGGAGGAGGCTGACTCTTTCTCTGTGCACACAACACCTGGCTGGTGGAATTAGGGAGCAGTGCTCCCTGCCTGAGAACAAGGCCGAGCCCTGTGACCACCGCTTTGTCCTGTAGGTTTGGTTCCAGAACCGGAGGGCCAAGTGGAGGAAGAGGGAGCGCTTTGGGCAGATGCAACAGGTCCGGACCCACTTCTCCACGGCCTATGAGCTGCCCCTCCTCACTCGAGCAGAGAACTATGCCCAGGTAAGTCCTCCTTCCTGGCCGTCTCCTCTGACCCTAGACCCCAGCACTGGTGGTGCAGGAAGGAGGGATAGTGAAGATGGAGGTTTCTGTCCCGCCTGGCCCCACAGCCGCTTTGCCCCAAATAAACACACAAAAACTTATATTAAGTATAAAATGTTTGGCTGGTGGCTCAGGTTTCTTATTGGCTAGCTCTGTCTTAATTATTAACCCATTTATATTAATCTATGTATTGCCACGAGCATCCAGCATGTTACTCCTTCGGCAGCATGGCGTCCCTTCAAGGCTTCTCTCTCTCCCCCCTCTCCCCAGCCTTCTTGGCTGGTAACCCCTCCTGTACTTTCTGTCTGACTATTATATACAGAAGAACATCCCCCATCAGGCTAGGCTCAGAGACCCCAGGTCTCTGTTTGACCCCGACTGTGGGAGACCTAGAAGGTTGGGACAGTGTCTTCCTCTGCTGGGGTAAGATCTGGCACATGGGAAGACCAGGTACTGTCAGAGTGTTGGCTGTCACTCAGGGTACCTACCCTAAGGAAGGATGTTCTGCAGTCTCGAGGGCTTGTGGCTAGGTGGGAATGTCCATAGAGATCTGAGGACCAGGACAAAGCTTCCTCAGTTTTAGTCTTGCTCTCTTCATGTTTGTCTCCAACCCTCTGAGACCCAGCTTCTTTGCTTATAAATTGGATATGATATAAGTGTCCACTTCAACTCTTCTATAACCCTGCTGTAAAGTCTAGGGGGTCATGATTTCTGGAAGGTAGCACGCATGGGCTTGACACTTAGACATTTTCCTGCTGTCTCCCTTCCTTTCTCCAGCAACTTCCTGTGTGTCTGTCAGCCAGAACAAGGAGTATTGTGAGTGATGTCAGGCATGCAGGGCTCCTGGACAGATGTCTATTTGACTGAGTACACCCCTGACACCTCTCTCATGACCTCCTTCTGCCCCGGCTCCCCGCACCTATGCCTCTCTCCTGTTTGCACTCTGCCTCCAGCTCTAAGTCTTGAGGCTCTCCAGCAGCCAAAAGCATCACTGATCCCAAATGTGCCTTGGTTTGGTGCTGTCATGCAGCCTCTGTCCATCCCAGCCCTGACCTGGGCTGGCTCTGTACCCCCTCCAGCTCCCCCAGGATTTGAGGGTCAGAGGGCCGCCCCAGAGGTGAGGCTGAATGGCTATCTAGTAAATCTACTTCAGCTCTGGCCACACCATTTAATACTTTTCTTTCCCTCTCCCTCTGCCCTCCCAGGGCCAACCTCTCTCACTCTTTGCCCTTGGTTGCTGCCATCTGAGCTCAGAGCTAGAGGCAAGAAACCAACAACTGACTGTAGCTGGTGTTTTTCTTGTCCCACCAGGTCTCACTGCTTCAGCTCCAAATGAGCACACAGAGACACTATGTGAATTATAAAACTGTTGGCCGATGACTAGGGCTTCTTATTGGCTAGCTCTGTCTTAATTATTAACCTATGACTACTAATCTATGTATTTCTACATGGCCTTATCTTACCATGTAGTGCATCCAATCTTCCCAGTCTCTGCATGGCTTCTCTCTCTGGCACTACTCTGCCTACCTTTCCCAGAATTCTCATCTCCTAGTACTGCCTATCTTCCTGCCTCTATTGGTCAAACTGTGTTATTCATTAACCCGTAAGAGAAGCACATATATACAGAAGGACATCTCCCATCAAGAGACTCTGCCTGTCTCTTCCATCTGCCCCACAGACTCCATATCCTAGATCCTTTCCAAGAGGGGGTGACAGCCAAATTGTCTCCTCTCTTGAACATGCTGAGGCTAGGAACAGGTCAAGGTCAGTCTGCAGGCAGTTCTTGGGACGATTAGAAGTCCCTGTGGATTTTGAAGACCAGTGTCAACCTGGTGCTTTTAAAGGCCTCTTTGAGGTCCTCTCAAACCTTTTGGGTAGATAGGCCAGGAGAAATCTGTCTGAAACAACTGAGAACCTAGAGTTACAGTTTAGAGGAGCATAGTTCTCTCCTCCAAGGGGATCTCTGTACCCCAGATTTGCTTACTCAAAGATGCTTAGAAGGTAAGGCAGATGACGCCAGAAGTGGGGGATGGGAAGAGAAAATGAATGGCAGTCATTTCAGTGGAAGAGGAAACATGTAGTTGAACCCCACCTGGGGGCTGGGGCTACCTTTTCACTGCTAGGCTAGTTGGAAAGCCTCAAGTATTCTGTCTTGGAGCCTTACTGATTGACCTGGGCCTATGATAGCATTCAGATGTCTGCTCCCACATTGATCCCCATATCACCCCAACCTGCAAGCCCAGAGTTTGTGTCCCCCCCCACAAGATGACCCAGATTAATGCTTTTACTGAACCTGAGGCACATGGAAACTCAATCCTTGCTACTGAATGTCGATTATGGATCTACTCTGAGAATTGAAATTCTAAAACATAAATTCACCTCCAGTTCCCTGGGCATCCCTAATGTTAGACACCTAAGAATGGTTTCCTTGTAATGACGGACAAGTGAAAAGGGTGAGAGCCCCTTTTACACCACCGCCCTCCTGACTGGCCTGTGACATCTCTTCCTTCACTGTCCCCAGATTCAGAACCCGTCCTGGATTGGCAACAATGGGGCTGCCTCACCAGTGCCAGCCTGTGTGGTCCCCTGTGACCCAGTGCCTGCCTGCATGTCCCCTCATGCTCACCCGCCTGGCTCTGGGGCCAGCAGTGTCTCCGACTTCTTGAGTGTCTCTGGGGCTGGCAGTCACGTGGGCCAGACACACATGGGCAGCCTGTTTGGAGCAGCTGGCCTCAGTCCGAGCCTCAACGGCTATGAGATGAACGGCGAACCAGACCGCAAGACCTCGAGCATCGCTGCACTGCGCATGAAGGCCAAGGAGCACAGTGCGGCCATCTCTTGGGCCACATGACAGGGCCTCCCCTGCCAATCCTGATGTCGTGCTCCTCCCTGGGACCTTGGCCACGTCCCTGCTTTCCAGGCCCCGAGCTTCCCACTTGACTCTCCTTTTAGGAACCCGGTCTGACCCAGGGGCCTGGCCCTCAGCACTTTCAGCCACCCCAAGTCTGAGGCCCCAGGGACTGCTGGGAGGGAGGGGGCTGTATGTCCTTGCCCTTCCCTGGCACTGAGGCCATGACCCCTGCTCCCTGCCAAAGGCAGTGGAGGAAGCCAGGCGGCTCTATGTGTAGCTTTGCATCATGTAAGCTGATGCCCTGTCTCTCTTCGTGTCCCTTCACCCTTCCATCTGACCTAACAGCTTCAACAGTCCATCCTTGTCTAGCCTTCCTTTCTTCTGTGTGGACCCCTGGTCACCCGGCCTATGGCTGTGTGTCTTAAGGAACAAGCTGCCTTACAGAGTCAGCTCCTGAACCCCTCTGCTCCCAGAAAGCACACGGGACCCCACCTTCTTTGTCCAAGGCATCTGATCATCCACCCATGCAATGGGCCTCGTGACTGTAGCTTGACTGCCCCCTGTGATGGATGCACCTGGGAAAAGTGAGGCATGAGATGGGGGACAGAACTGAAGGACTCTGCTGCTATCTACCCATGAAGATGACCAAGCTCCAAGGAGATGTAGGCCCACCTTTGCTCCTGAGACCGGTTCTAGTTGAAACTGTGGGAGTGGGCTGCCAGGTGTAAGGGAGGCAAGGACACAGACCGACCTCCCCACCACTGCCACTACCCCACACATGATCATCAGGAAGCAGAGAAGCTGCCAGCATGATGCCCACAAGGAGGATTCAGTGGACTGAACCTGAGTACCACCTGGCATCTTCTGCAGTAGGGAGGTCCCTTGGTCAGCGCTGGAACCTCCTCAGGACCCCTCTGGGAAGAGTTGAGATATTCGTCCTCTCCCTCCTGGTCACTCTTTGGGGCTGCTGGGCAGTGTCCTGAGCTGGAAGAGTCTACACCTTGGAAGACATAAGCTAGAGCACAGGGCCACGGCGGAAGCTCAGGAGCAGAGGACATGTGGCCAGCTCAGCCTCCAGCCAGGATGGCTTTTCTATGTTCAGACTAACTGTGTCCATCACCACCCTGCCACGCATCACACCTGCTGGAGCTTTCTACACAGGGTAGGTGGAGGTCGGTGCCCCTCTAGGCTAAAAGGAGACCCGCTCTCTAGTTGCCCTCCACACCCTCTTAGAGAGCCTATCCTTGCTTCTTCCCCAGGGGCCAGGGTCTCTGCCTTAGCTGGCCTCATGAAAGGTTCCCATCAAGTACCACTTTCTGTGGCAGGAAATTCTCCTGAAGTCAGTCCCCTATCTGAAAGAAGGGGCTCCCTCTCTACCTGACTTGACCTGGAGCTAGGAACTAGGATTTGAAGTGGCCCCAGCCCTCACCTGAGCTGGAGCAAAGAGCCACCCTTGAGGTAGGTCCCTCAAGCAGGTGGCCTTTCCTGAGGAGACACACTTGCCTTTTCTACATTCTGCCTCGACTATTGTCCGTGAGGTGGGCTAGGCCAACTAGGCCCAGGTTCTGCTCACCAAATGGCCTCTCAGGTTGGGCTGAGGACCAAGGACTCCTGCCTTGGATCTTCCCTAGGTCTCAGTGGATGAGAGGTAACCACAAGCCCTGTTGTGTCCTCATCTGCTCTGGAATGTAGACGGAGTAAGCTCTCGGTAGAATGTAGATCTGGATTGGCCACCCCTGGTAAGAGTCAGGCCTCTTCGGAAACTGTAGCTCTCACGTAGATCTTAGGAAGGCAAAGAAAGCCTTGGGTATTGAATTCAGGGTTGCCAGTGGCTCGACTTTAATGTTCCAGATGTTTGGGGAACAAGTTCTCCATTTCTGGAGTGCACTGAAATAACTCACTCCCTCAGAATCTAGCAAGAGGAGGAAGGGCCTCAGGGAAGGGAGTGACATATAACTTCCCTGGGTTTTATTTCTGGCCAAGCTAGACCCAAGTCAGGCAAACTCCAACCCGCAAGCCTGATAATGAAAAGGTATATAGCAATAGCAGATTGTTTTCCATCAGTCAAGAATTGACGTGCCTTCCATCACCTCTCCAGATGTAGCAGTTGTCACCTAGGCTTTTCTGGAGGGCCTCAACCTCAGCTGGTCCCTAGGGAACCTGGAGATGCTCTGAGCTCCCACAGGGCCTCCCTCATGCCTCATACCTCAGCTCCCAGGTCTCCAGAAGAGAACTGTGGGGTCCTGTCATCCCTAATAGGTCTGTCTTAGCCCCTAAGATGCCCTAAAGTAACAAAAGTCTCCAAGCAACGTTGCTCCCTAAAGATCCAGATCTTCCCAAGGTGCAGATGAGGGAAGAGGACTTTGCCTCCCAGGTGGTCACTGCCGGATAAGCATCTGAGTGAGCTGAGGCCAGCCTTGCCTGACAGCACAGGAGTGGCCATGTTTAGTGCTGGCAGCCTGGTGTATCACGGAGAGCAGTTATACCTGCCTCATCTCATCTCTCCAGGAGCCCCTTCCTTCACAGCAGAGGGGCCCAGGCTCTGGGGCAGACAGGCATGGCTCCAAGTTCTTCTTTGAGTTGTCTTAGTTCTCCTGAGTCTGTTCTCACAGCTATGCCTCCACCTTCAAGAAGCAGGATGGGTGGGGATTCGGGCAAGGAGGCAGCAAGACCCAGGGGTTTCCCCAGCACTCACTGCAGGGCTTGTGTTGGACACAGCTCCGATGCCCCATCTCCAGGAGTAGACAGGAAGGATTCCATGGAATCTACCATGTGCCCGACACAGCCAATTGCCCTCTGGGATATCCTTGGGCAGATCATCTCTGGGGACTCAGGAACCCAAGGTCCTAGGTCAACAGGAACGACCCTGACTGTCAGGTACATAGGCAAACAGACCCAGCAGAGGGAGAGTGGCAGGCAACCTCACCCCAGGGTGCTAATCAGTAACCATACAATCTGAAACCAGGGCAAGCTTCTATTTTTTCCCTCAGCCCGGCTTTGCTGCAAGGATGCCATAGGGAGGAGTTCCCACCAGACAGTGTTTCCCACCCTCGCCTCTCCTCGCCCTTCACTCACACATAGAGCTAGGCCTGTATACTACTGATTTTGGAGGGTCGTTTTCAGTGTCTAATAACCTGTTTGGGTGTGCAGTGGTCAGAAAAAAAAAAGAGAAAGAGAAAGCTGAGTGAGAGACAGAACATGAACCTCAACCAAAACTCGCTGTTCTTGTAAGATATTCTAACCCTGTATAAATGCAACTTTTTCTTTAGCTTAACGGCCTGGGGTGGAACATTCAGATATATATAAATATATATTAAAAATACATTAAAATTTCAGAAAAATGTAAAAAAATTGAGGTCCGTTCCATAAAGTTTTACTGCCTATACCACCATGTAACTACATTATAGCAAAATATTACAAGAAACGTTCTTTTCTTTTAAAGTAAGTTATTGCACTTACATCTCTTGCTGAGGGGAGGAATGTGGGAAGAAGGAGGCTGAGGCGCTGAGGTGGGTGGGATGCAAGGCAGAGGCAGCTGACGCTTCCGGCACCCCCTTGTCGGGAGCAGAGCAGACTGTCTGTTTGTTGTTGTTGTTTGCAATAAACTCCTCCCTCCTCTCAACTGGAGTCTGTCTGTTTTGTTCCTGACTTATGACAGATGAAATGTGATCAGAGAGGCCTCTGAAATCTCACGTTAATTGAAGTCGGCAAAAAAATACTAACAGTGCCCTTTTGAACCGCTGACACAGTGCAGGATGGGTTACCAGGCTAGATTAACAACAGGTGGCCGGCCAATCCTCCAGCGCAAAGAGGGTGCACGGGCTGTCAGGGTCTGGGACACACACACCCTTGGGGGCTCTTGAGTAGCAAGCGAGCCAGAGGGGCCAGAGTGGTCCAAGCCTGCGTCGTAGACAGTGGGGTGGATCATGGGCAAAGTTTCTTGCCTCCCATGTGCCTAGTACAGACTGTACCAGAAGGATTTCATCAGCAGCCATTCTTCACATCCCTGATGCCCCTGAAACAGTGCTGTTCTGGAAGCCGGATGAGAGCCAGGGCATCTGAGCCTGCAGGGCAGGCCTCTAGGAGAAGCAAGACCCAAGCCCGGCCCTGATGACCAGTACTGACTGGGTGGTAGAAAGACCTTTCCCAGCAGGAAAAACAAGTGTACGAATGAGTCTGAAAGCCAGGCTGTGCGGACAAAGGACGCAGCAGACAGGGCCTGCAGGAGGTGACTCAGAAAGAGGCAGTGAGTCTCAGAGCAGCGAGTGTGTGGAGCAGGGTCCAAAGCACAGGAGTAGGCCCGTCCCTGTCTGGTCTACCAACCTGTGGGGAGGAGTAAATGATGAGGTGCGTGCATGCGCTGCCAAGCTGACGTGGCAAAGAGGCATGAACGATGGTGGCTATTCAGAGCTGCTCTTCCCAGACTCTCATTCCAACTACCTGAACACTCTCTCAGAGATACTGTGGACTTGCTGCCTGTGTGTGTGTGTGGGGGGGGGATTCTGTGTAGCACAGAATGTTTTAGGTAAACTTGGAGACTCACTTTAGAAAATGACAGCTGGCACACATTAGGGCTGAAGGACACAATGGCATTTGGACTCTTACCCCAAATCACAGAACAGCAACTGAGGCAGAGGCAGGAAAAGCTACATGCACCTGGAAACCATGGAGTGCTCTCTACCACCCGTCTCTGCTCTTCTTGGGAATCAGACACTTGAATCTGTGTCCAGACAAGGGCTATTTCTCCAGGCAACTCCCGCTTGTGGGAAGCTGGCTGGGTCATGCATCCCTGGTGACTGAGAGTCCATTCTAGAGACTGGTGCCTCTCAGGACAGACATCTCTCAGTGGTCATGGGGGATTTTCTCCAGGAACTCTGGGTACCCATATCCAAGACACTCAAGTCCCTTCTACACAATGGTACAGGCCCTCCCAACCTATTTAGATCATCTCTGTATTTTTAGGAATACTCACTACAGCAGGAATGCCAGGTACACAGTGTTAAACTGTACTGTTTATGAAGTAATGACAAGATAAAGTTAGCACATGCTCAGTAGTGAGGCAAACCATCTTTAATATGTCTGTTCATCTGCTGAATCTGCAGACGAATCTGAGATCATGAGAGTACTGACTCTACTCTCAAGGACGGTGGAGGTTGTTGTTGACTATAGTTCCAGCCCCATATCTGGTCACCCAACTAACTCACTGTCCCTCAAACTATCAGACCTTTCATTTGTCACCATCACTGGGATTGCTATGCTTCTGCCTAGAATGCCTCTGTTCCCTCCTGGCTCTTCCACTAGGTGATTTCCCATTGATCCTGTGCATTTCCGCCGGACAAGGCCTCTGTGGATCGCTGTTTAGTACTCACCCCAGGTCATCTGCTTCCTAGGAGCTGTGTGCAGCATCATGCTGACACAAATCCCTGTGGGCATCAACTCTATGTGAATCCCATTCAACTAAAGACTCTCAGGACCCAGGCTGTGCTTTCATTAGAGTTCTGAGTAAGTGAACTGAGACTTGGAGCTACGATCAGGGTTGGGTAGGAAGGTCAGAGGAGAGTCAGTATACTTGACGTCGAGCCAGAATGGGCCGGGAATGGAGCTCAGTTGGTGCAATGCTTCCCCGGCATGTATGAAGCCCTGGAATTCATCCCCAGCACTGCATAAACAATGACACATGTGTGTAGTCTCAGCACTTGGAAAGTGGGGGCAAGAGGATTGCAAGTTCAAGGTCATCATTAACTATAAAGCAAGTTTAAGGCCAGCCTGGGCCACATGAGACCCTGGAGAGAGAGGGAGGGACAAAAGGATGGAGCAAGTGAGGAAGATGGGGGTTGGGGTGTGGTGGGGAGAGGCTGAGGCCTCTGGAGAGCAGCTTCTAGTGAATTCGGAGCCTCAGCTTAACCATGAACCCTGCTGTCTTCCTATGGACTCCTGTACATTTGTGAATTTACAGAGAATCCCATACATGACAGAGAATATGTCCCCATTATTTATTTCTCCTGGGGTCCAGCCAGCCCAAGGCTAGTTTCCCATGACTGTGCATCAAGTCCTAGCCCAACAGCGTTCATCTTGGAGCCTCTCCACTTAGTCTTGGGCTCAAATCTCATGTTTCAGTCCCCTTTAGATAACTCTTGTGCCCCACACCCTCTACCCTGCAGAGAGATTGCTTCTTGCCTTGGTGCCAAGCCCAGTTGAAGCTGTTTTTGCCCTGTGCCCCCTGCCTCGCTATAAGAACCCCTGCCAACCCCAGCCACCATGAGTGGGTTGGTCCCCAGACAACAGAATGCTTGCCGTGCTGTAGAGTGGAGAGGGAGCTAGGGGTGGAGCTCACCCTCCCATGGCCCAGATTTGCATGCTCAGCAGTTGAGGAACAATGGACCCTCCACAAATAGCACAAATAGCCAGCTCCCCCAAAATAGGGCTGACTACAGACCCTCAACATGTTCGTGGTGAGATGTCAGCCGGCGCCAGAAGACAATGGGGTGTGAGAGTTGAAATTTTCCCAGGAATTCTGTGTGATTCCAAACAGATTTTTTTCTTTTTAGCTCAACACAGACCAACAGGCTTGAGGAAGGGCAAGCTTGCACACGGAGCTTGGGTTCATGGCCATGTGCACACCATGTGTTAAGGTGTTGCCTTGGCTGGTGGAGAGCAAACTCACTGCGGTGCCTGCATGGGATCTCCCTGGAGCCCTTCAGGACATGGTTCTTAGATGTTCCAGGATGGGGAGGGGGGCTGCAATGCTCTTGCCAAGTCTTCTGGGATGTCTCTTTCATTTTTCACAAGTTCCCTCCCCCTCTCGTCTCTGTTGTGTACCTACAATATACCTCTGTTATTCTCAAATAATAGGCCATATATACCATGGAAGACAGAAAAGTGAAGGCGAGAAAGGGAGGGGGGGCAGGCAGATGGGCAGACAGGCAGACAGATAGAGATGGTTGCAAGGATGGAGTGCAGAAGCAGCCAGCATCTCCTCTCAAACACAGATTTACACAGTAAGCCCTGTCCTGAGGAAGGAAGAGAAACCCAGGAAGTTACAAGGGACCCAGGTCAGAGTGGGTATTAAAGATGTCCTCTGCTCTGCTACTGCAGGCAGGCCAGACACAAAGATGCTCTTGTTGCATGTCCTGCCCACCACCGATAAAAGCAGAGACATGGTCTCCAATCCTCTCACAAGGCAGTTGCAGAGCCTAAGAGTAAAAATGTTTGACACAGTGAGGAGTTCTAGAGACTGGCAACACTATGCATACACCCACGCAAGTGGCTAAGGGCAAGGCACCAAACATGAGGGGACTGTCACCAAGTGTGCCACCAGACTGTGCTGTTGTATTTCTGGGATGAATAAAGGTGAACGGTGTGGTATTGGATCTTCATGGGATGCCATAACTAAGCCCCACACATGAGGCAGCATAAACAACAGACATTCAGTTCCTCACAGCAGCAGAGGCTGGGTGGGGCCCTGCTCGTGGAACTGGAGTGGGCTGTCCATCTCCAGCTTACAGAAAGCTGTCTTCTCTTGGGGCAGAATTCAGTCAATAACAAGCAGTGTGGCTTGTGTGTGTTATGCGGATGAAGAACAGGGATGCACATGGACAAGTGGTTGGCCATTCCTAGAGAATCTCAGAAGTCCCAGTGAGTTCCTGCAGTGGCCTGGGAGCCTCTGGTTTAGTGCCCTGCCACTTTCTCCTACGCATACCCCATTACGACTCTCTCCCTAGTCAATATCATCAGAACTCAGGCCAGTAACCAATTCTGTTCCAGGTCCCTGGTGAGACACTAGCCCAGCAGGGGCTGCAACTCTGATTTGTAAACTGTAGGTGTCAGCTTAATTGGATTATGGGACACCTACAGTGTCCCTTCTGGTTGGAAAGGGGCTTCCAAAGGAGCCTGGTGTGTGAGTCAGGAATAGAATGGAGAAGACTTGCCCCAAGCACCGGTGGTACCATGCCATGGGCTGGGAGTTGGGATAGCAAGAGACTGAAATCCCTTTTTGTCATTTACTGCCTCATACAACTGATGGGACTCTGAGTGACCCAGTTTTCTTACTGGATGAAATGACCCTGGAAAGCAGAAGTTGTCTTTCATTTCTTTCTTAGTTTGTGTGTTGTCATAACAAAATGCAATTTATAAGCAAGGAGGATTGACTTCTCATAGTAATAGAGGCTAGGAGTCCAAGTTCAAGGTGGCAGCAGCCTTGGGGACTGGTATGGCCCCTTCCTTCACATGGTAGGAAGGGCAAACATGCCTCTCTTGGGATCCTACTCACCTCCTGCCTGCCTGGTGGCACTGGAGACCCTTTCACAGTATAGAACCTGGACCAGTGCTTCCTGATGCCCATCTGTATCATGCCTCTGCGTCCCTTAAACACCCAAGCCCTTGATTACCCTCACAAAGAACCATCTTTGTTTTAAAGATTTCCTATTCTCTAGCTCCTGGATGTCTGCTCTCCATTCTCTCTGCCCACTCAGGGCTTAGCCTTGTTTATCTGGTTTCTTAGGCAGAAGCTCAGACTGTTTTAAACCTTTCCTTTCTAGTTTAAGTAATTCAATCAGGTCTGCCTCTTGGGACACTACTCACACGTGTGGTGCTTTTGATCTTTATTCAGTTCGGATTATTTTC